AAATGGGTTTAATTAACCTGTAAGAAATATGAAATTGATTTTCCAAGGCCCGTAATTAAATATGCGTGACAGTTTTAAATGTTATTTGGTTATTACCAAAATAGTCCAATATGACAACTTTAACTGAGGATAAATATTTCCTGGGACCAAAGCCCTCCATAGGGGTGTATGGTTGGGGAGAGTAGCAGTCTTATGACATTGCCTGGGTAGGTACTGAGTTACCGTGATCTGAAGTGAGTATGCCTCTGCCCCTGCTGAAGTACCCAGCACACTGGACGTGGAGATTGCCCTGGCTGAAAGCGAAAAGATCTACTTCCAGGTACATGTCTCATTAGAAGCTAGGCTCCAAAGAGAGAGATGCAAGAGGAGAAGTCATTTTAACTCCATATCCTCTCATAGCCTCAGGGAGACAGAAGCAATGGGTTATTTTCCTATAAATGGAATCCTATTTTTCATTTGTTGTTGTGTTTCCAAAAGGTGAGTTAGTATTCAAGTGAAATGAACACCAAATAACCAAATATTCACTGTTATTTAGGAGAATTAAAGTGTTCAACTAACTTAAGAATGTGCTTTAGATGAAATAAAAAGTAACTGAGAACCGTGCCACGTTGCCCACTAAATTTTCCTCCATGGATAACCCTGCCTCTGGACAAATAAATATACCCACAGTTACCTGGACAGTGGCTGGGTTTTCATATGAGTGACTCCAATGAGGTTAAAACACGTGGTTGAGATTTTGAGTCATCCTAAGATGTGTATCCCTGGGTTTTCCCTTTTTGGAGACAGCCATAGGATGAAGAAAAAGAGGAGGATGATTGATGGAGCTGAAAGGTATTTTTATTTAATTTTAACAAAATTCCTATTTTGATCTTCTTTAGTTCTTATTTTCTTTACTTAATCTAAACAGCATTGTGTTTATTAAAAAATTATTTATTGAGGAATTCCTTTAGCCGGGAATTTTCCTATGCCTTCCAGGCTGCATTATTCTATAGTACTTGGCCCAAAGAAAGAGAGGCTTCAAACCTAAGGCAAGTGAGATGATAAAGACAAAATCCGAAAGGTTTCGGCAAAGAAATCTGGAAAAGTCAAGCAAAATTTAGTTTTCATTTTTTTTTTTGAATCTTTAACTTTTTAATACGTGAAAGTGGGGCAGATTTCTCCTCTTAGCATAGGAGAACATTTTCCCAGAATAAGGACCTAGTTTTATTTCCTTAAAACTATCGTCACTTTTAGTATAATTGAGATTGCCTTTCTTAATTAATTAAATGTCACAACTCCAATATAATTATTTTGTGAATAATTATATTAGCTGTCTTCTGTTTTAATCACCATGCCACCCTTTTCTTATTCAACATTGATCATTATCTTAAAATGTTGTTCCATGGGCTTTATACAATTCCATAACAATTTTGGTAGGAAATACATTATTTTAATATGCAAATGAGCTCTTCATGATAAAATATTTCCTAAATAATTTCTAAACATTTTATTATTTTTACATAGAGTACAGAATTATACTGTTTTCTGGAGTTCCCACAATGCCTGCTGGCAGCAATAAGAAAGCCCCTTTTTCAAATTATTTAATCATTCTTCAATGTACTCTGATTTGGATATGCATGGCCTTTAAGATCTTTACGAACCATATTGGAAATTTATACTATTTTAAGTTTTTTATTAAAAAATAATGTGGATGACCTGAGAAACAGAGGGAAAATTAACAAATTTGAACACTTTTATTTGTAAATTATATGCATATGTGTATGTTTTTATATAATTTTAATAATAGAATACATAAATTATGTATACTTTTATTAAACCTAGCATATTATCAGAAATGTTTTAGTATAAAAAGATACACTGAAATATCCTATGGGAAGTCTGTAATTTTGTAGGCAAACCTGTTATTATTTCAATGTGTTACTTGCCTGGTTAGCCCAGATGATTGAACCATGGGAGAAAACTGATGACTGTTATGGTTTCAATTTCTGGGTAGCCAGTTACCTTTACTCTCTTTCATGGCAACATGAAGGGACTAAATGACTCAGAAAGAAAATGTGGATGCATTAGTGTGAATTCATCTCCTCTGCAGGAAAAAACACCCATAGCACAAGACCTAGGTTTGCGCCAATCCCTGTCATTAGTGTCAGGATGAAAAGAAACAAGACGAGGAAAATCTTGATCTTCCAAATACAAAAAGTGAATGTGATACAGCTTTCATCTCTGTAATATAACATAATGACCTGCCTTTTTATAGTTACAGTTTAGGGGTTCCAGCTGATCACCTGCCTGAAATTATTGCAAGCCTGGTGGGAAGCATTTGAGGAGGCATAGTCATGTTTTCATTTCACTAGGAAATCGTTTAGCAAATTACTGCTGTTCTGTAAATTACTGTACTGCATAACTTTCACACTGAGAAACTATTTTCTTTTTCCATAAAAATTGCAGATGAAAGGTTTCTACAATAAATGACCTGTATTTAAAACAAAACCATTCCTAGAATTTAGAGAATGTGATATAGCATTTCTCATATGGAAATAAAAACAAATACATTTTTATTACTAATATTACACAATGACATATTCTCTGGTAAAGACAGTTTTTAAGTTATTTACTTTGTTACCCGTTGAGATGAATGCACAGAAGCTTCTGAGAGGGAAATAACAAGCTAAATACTTATTTTATTTTTTAAGGAAAAGAACTAAATTTGGAAATTATAGTTCTTAATGCCTCTGTTTCATACCCTGAAGAGGGCCCCACAATTGGTAATCAACCTAAATAGAACAAAGTATTGGGAACAAACAGTTTTTATTAAGCCAGGTCTTGTTTAGGATATCAATGTGAGAGGAAGTAGATCAGTTCTTTTAATTTTGCATTGAGGTAATATTGGCCCAAACATAATCTGGGGAAATGTGGCCTTATCCCCACAAGCATTATGACTAAGAGAGGGTCACACTCCAAATAGGATGATCATTGCTGATGTGGCAGAATGCTTACAAAAGGACTAATTCCTCTGGCCTTTTCTAGAAACACTTGCATAATGGAACACAGAGCTGGCTCATTTCATTTCAGTGGCAATAAGATAGAAAAGCAGAGGCAGGAGAAAACAATTCTTTAGACAATAAGGTCCCATTTAAGTGCTGCCGTTTCATAAAAAACAGGCTTAGAAACAGGAGTGAATGACTGATACTCAGAAGATTAGTGAATAGTAAGCAAATCCCCCCAAACTTAAAGATGGCTATGAATAATGAACACAAACGCTTTCATAGTAGCTAAAATTTAACAATCACAACAGGCGCATATTAAAATTGTCATCTCATACCTAGAATTAGTTATAACATCACAAGACAAATACCTGACATTTGAATCTATAGTTAAATAAAGTTGCAGGACAAATGTGAAGATTCAGAAGAATGGCATAAATATGGTTTCACTGCTGCAAATAAAAGCCTTTAGGAAAAGGTTAAAGGAACTGTTATGACTCATTTTGAAGATGAGTAGACCAATTTTTATTATCTTCCAGCCTTTTCTCAACCAGTGTTCTTCTAAACTACAGAATTTAGAAGATGTTTTAAGTAACACTTTTCTTTCTCCCATGGATGGTGCATAAATAGCATCATTTCACATACATTAAAGAGAAGTTAATTCATTACATAAAAGGATGACTAAAAGCACAATTCTCTCATGTAATGGAGGTTGATGGCAATTGTATACATAGTGGATCATAAACTAATGTTGGCAAAACATATGGAAGCTAGAAAATGCATTTTGAAGCAAGATATATATATATATATATATATATATATATATATATATATAAGATAAAGAGCGGATTTTCTAGACATAAAAACATTTCCTTCTTTGAAGGATTTCGAGGTTTGGATTTACTTTCTTCTCACTGGAATGGGATGAAGCTTATAGCCTGTGAAGGCAGAGTCCTTTCCCCAACCTTAAATGTGTGCTTGGTTCTTTCAACATGGAGCTATTCAAAAATATACAGTGGTGAAGCCCCAGGGTTAGAAGGGGAAAGAGGAAGATATGGTACTGCAGCTAAGAGGCAGTGCCTGAGATCCATTTCTTCTCTGAGCTCAACTCAGGATACAAAGAAACACCAACCAAGAAACTTCATGAGGACAGAGAAAAAGTTGACGTTAAAGGAATCGAGAGGAGTAACACTTGAAATATAGGCTGTTTAGGGGTTCTTCCAAAATATGTTTTGTTTTATCCCTATTATTAATCTTTTTCTAAAAGATAATGCCTGTTGTATATAGAACACTGCTTTAAAAAGGCAGAATTATCAGTCTGAAAATAAATGATTATTATTCAGGACTACAGACAAATATATGGAAGACAAACGAAATATTCATAAGGTAGATTCGGTGGAAATTTTGGTGTTTTACTTTCTAAAAGCAATCTGGTTTCTTATATCTATTTTGTGATAAATGCAAACATAGGAAAATTCTGAACACTTAAAATTTTATTAACTTCCAAATAATTGAAGTCCTACTGTACATTCTTACCCATAATGATATTTTATTAATTAATCCACATTATCATGAATCTAAAATTGTTCACAAAGATCACTATTGACTTGGATTGTGCATTTAAACTATAAGTGCCTTTATCTAATGATACTTTAAGGAGTATTTGGACGAGGCATCAGTCACACTGTGGATACAATCTGCTTTCTCTGGCAACTTATTATTAATGTAAAATGAGAGTCCATATTGATCTTTGCTTATGCAGGCAGTTCACATAAATTCCATGAAACTGAAAGTGAACAATGAAGGGCAAACTCTGGCTTCTAATCAAATAGTAATTTGAAGTTTGAGTGCAAATATCTCTTTTGTAATAAACAAAGATATCTTTCATGTGAAGAACTTTCCATTGAAATGAAGTCATGGTTGGAACGGTTAAAATAGGATAATGCTTGAAAGTGAATGAGTACATGAATAAGATTTTTCTTTGCTTTACCTAACTCCTGCCCTTTTTTCCATTTACAGTTATTCAGGAGCAAGAAAATGAGCCTGTGCCCCTATCCTTGAGCCCAGACATCTGCTTAAATAAGTCACAGTTAGATGACTGCCCAAGGGACTCTGGTTGTTATATCTCATCAGGAAATTCAGATAATGGCAAAGAGGATCTGGAGTCTGAAAATCTGTCTGACATGGTACATAAGATTACTATCACAGAGCCAAGCGACTGAACACACATTCTCAACTATACACCTACAGATGTGTTCCATTTTAACTCTTCTTGAGCAAAAACATCAAACAGGACAGGAAATAATTTGTAAATAAAGCCTAGAGTTTAAATGTTTTAATCTGAATTGTACATAAAATTTTGTATCTCTAACATTCCAAATTATTGTCAATAAAACATATTTATTATTTTAAATGCTATATGTTAATATTTCACTTGCCTGTATTAGAAAGGTATAATGTAAGACTTCAGCATGTGTGACATATGCTTTATTTTATAAATACAATACCTGCAAAAAACAAAGTAACCTTTTTTCATACCTGCCCGTTTTGAATTTGTATATGTTATTGAATGAATAGTAATAGAGAAATCTCTGTGGAAACAAGTGGTCCAAGCAATGTTATAGTCATTTTTATACTTACTGGGAAAGTGTGAGTTAATATTCTACACATTTTATCCTGATCCACAGTGGAGTTTTAGTAATTATGTTTTCTTGGTTTCTTCACTTTGTTTTCTGGTATAAAAGTATAGATAATGTGTTGTCACTTGTGACTTAGTGAAAACAATTGTAATAATTATGCAGATGTTTTTGTCTTTAAGTGTAAATATTTTTAAGTTTGACATACCCTGATGTTAATAATAAAAAGAACTATTTGCACACTGCATTTTCCAGAGTAGTGGTACTTACGGGGTTTAGTATTGGACTTTAGAGAAAATACCTCCTCCCAGAAATCCCTCACATTTTGTAATATAAGTGCCTCCCATAGCAATAATCTCAGCCTCATCTGTCCCCTAAACCCCGGTGATATTTATCTGATTCACGTGATATCCCCAGGAAACTTCAATTCAACAAAACCAAACCACTGATTTTCTCTACAAATTTTTCTCTGCTTTTTTATTCTCAACTTCTCTTTACTGCTACTAACACCCAGCCAGTCATCAAAGCAGAAAATCACTTCTTGCTTCATCTCACATATATCCTCCTCAGACAAATTCAATAAGTAATCAAGCCCTATGGATCCTACCTCTAAAAATGCTTTCATATTCATGGCGTTCTATCCATTTTCATGGTTGTTGTCTTGCTTTGGATCCTCATGATCTCATGTGTGGAATATTGCAGTAGCTTTCCAACTGGCCCCTACCGTCTCATCCATCCTCCACACAGCCTCCAGATAAATCTTTCTAACCCACAAATCAAATCAGGTACTTTTCTGCTTGAAAGTTTTGGATGGCTGCTCATTGTCTTGAGTATAATATTCAAACGTTCTTCCAGGCTGTGTAAGGTCTTTCCCAATTACTTTCTACCTAGCCTATGAATTGTAACTACCCCCTCACCACCACCACCATACAAGCACACCTCTCAATATACACTCCTGTCGTAACAATAGACTTGCAATTTTCTTCTCTTTGTGACTTTGCATATGCTATTTATTTTCCTGGAGTGTCTCCTGCTTTTTTCCACATTAGGAAGTCTCCCTCCTTTCTCCATCCTGAAGGTCGCTTACTCTGTGAAGCCTTCCATGATTCCCTTTGGTGCTTCCATAGCAACTTGTAAATTGTGGGTCATAGCACTTGTCATATTATGCTTTATCTAGTTGTATGACAATTGCCCTTCCGTAAAACTGTGACCTCTTTGTGACAGAGATTATTTTGTTTAGCCTTTTAAATCTCTGGTGCCTAACAATACCTGGCACAGAGTGGGGACTTTGGAAATATTTGCTAGAGGGCATTGAATATGATGATTTTTCTCATATAATAGAGTCCATCTCTATTTAAATTGATCCACTCCAACTAAAGGTAAGTACCGTCCAAAGTGACCTATTTTTTTTAAACAAATAAAGCATAATACCTTAGAAAAAAACAGGAAACACAAAGTGTTCCTTCAAATGCTAGAGGACAGCATTACATTGTTAATGCCTGCCTATTTTTCCAGACCCCCGAGATTTAACTGCATATACAGTGCCCTGGTGAGGCATAAAGCACATGTCTAGCTCTATTCTTCCCCCTTCATGGTGTGAAATGGTGTTTCAATTTTAGTTTTCCAAGACGCTGCCTCCATCATGACCCCTCTCTTGCTAAGGCTATCCCTCCAAACCGACTATTCTAGGGTGTCCTTAAACACAGCAGTCACTAGCCATAATTTTATAACTTTAATCAACCCACTGCCTCAGGGAGATCAAGAGAGGATAGCTTCTTTATGGAGATGCCAGGAAATTCTAAGTTGGGAAGCAACTAACAAACTACTTGACTTTAAAACAGTGGCAATTGCCATGACGTGTACTCAGCCACAACTTCAGTCCCTTAAAAATAAAGGTCTGGTGAAGGATTTAGGGAAATACTTTTGAGGGGAAATGCAGCAGAGGCCCAGAGGAGATTGAAACAGAGGAAGAGAGATTGGATTCCTAAAAAGAGAAGACACCATGGGGTTCAAGTGGTCAGCAGGAAGTCTTCATCCTGCAGTTCTGCACTGGAAAGGACATGTGTATAGTGGCATATATTCCACATTAAGGGTGTGCTGCTGTCCTCACTTTACTCACAGCTCCTTACAGTGCCTCTGCAGCTGAAGCTTCCTCTATGTGGGGGAGGGAACATCAACAGAAGGAAGACAGGTTTTTCGCTTGGCCATGGAAAGCTGAATAAAGCGGAGCAGGAAGATAAGAAATAGCTCATTCAAGGTTGGGAAGTAGTTGAGGAACTTGGACCTTCTGCTGCTTTTGGCTGAGTGAGAAAC